AGAGGCCTATGTCCAGCAGTGGACTGCGATAGGCTGATGATGAATGTTAAAAGCTTTAAACCGGTAGCTACTACTAAGATGTATGATATATAAGTGGGTAGTTGAAAGCTCAACATATAACTTTAAAAGCTCTTATAAATAATTTGAAATAAAAATAGAATAGACATATTTTATATAGATTTAATGAATACAATAAAACCTCAATAATAAATACCTGCTAGTCAGTGTTATATCCACAGAAAAAACTAAAGTTTTCAATTTTCAAAAATAAAAACTACACACAGCATCACTATGAGCACTATACAAGAACTACAGGATTGTTTTGAGAAGAGGATGGCTAACTTCGAAGCAGAGCTCCTGAAGAAGGCCTCAAATGCTGCTAGCTTGGCTGGTCTCGCAGAGGAGTTTACTATATTCAAGACTCTCATCTTAGAAACCTTGAAGTCCTTCCAAAGCCAGATGAAGGTGCTTGCGAATGAGGTGGACAACATGGAAACCCGAAGCCGTCGCAAGATACTCCTGGTACATGGTGTCACAGAGGAGAAGGATGAGAATATATCCCGGGTCGTCGCGGAGGTAGCAGCAAGTAAGTTAGGTCTTGACTCATTTACAGCTGATGGTATAAGCCGCTGTCACAGGATGGGCCGACAGACTACGGTCGAAAAACCAAGACCCATCCTAGTTAAATTTAGGGCAGTGGCAGTGCGGGACCGACTCTGGGCGTCTAAGACCAAACTCAGGGGCACTGGTGTGACACTCTCCGAGTTCCTGACCCGATCACGACACTCTGCTTTCATGGCAGCACGTGAGGAATTCGGGATCACTAAGTGTTGGACCAAGGAAGGTACTGTTTACGTTATGGGTCCCGACGGTTCACGCCATCGTATCACTTGTGTGGCAGATCTCGACCAGATAAGGCCAGTGGCTGCAGAAAAGCCAACTGTGACCAAAACTCAAGCTGCGAGACCGAAGAGAGCTGCTGTCGGTTCAAAAAAGTAAATGGTTGCTATGTGGTTCTCCCTTAGATACATTGAATGTAATGTTACACTGTCTGGGTGAATTTCACGCGAGAATCAGTCCAAATATATTTTCCTTACTAACATTTTATGGTTTCGAATATGGTAATCATCAAATAGTTCTGTTCAACATCATTAAACCAGCCGAACACATTTATTTTGTTGATCTACCTTTATTTAAAAAATTCTCAAAACAAAAATAGCTGTCAAGTGTCAAAGAAAGTCAAATTGCGTTCCAGGCCGCATATTTTTCTGCAACACTATTGTTTGTCACTGATTAGTTGTAAGTTTGGAACAAAGTCTTTTGAACGGGAAGTTCGCCCAGAAAATTGTGACACAATTTTGCTTCTTTTTGTTTTTGTTTTCTTTTCTTTTTTTGGATTACTTTTATTTAGTTAATATCTTCCAGTAATTTCTAAATGTAAAACACACGACTGGCGGGTGGATCATAAAATTATTTTTTTTATTTTTTTATTGCTACTATTCATATATTATTATTATTTATTGAACATTATTGCTCTATTAGTTTACTTATATATTCTTGAGTCAACTTTATGTCTGACTTGGACAATAATGATGATGACAGTTTTTACTCGATAAACAGTCTTGATTCTAGTTACGTTAGCATACCCTCACTCCATGAGAATCTTAAGTACCAATTTTCTAATGCTCCGCGGAATTTTAATGTAGTCCATATCAATGCCCAGAGTATTCCAGCTCATTTCCCTGATATGCTGGCGACCTTTGATTGCAAAAATATTCACGCAATTTTAGTTTCAGAGACATGGTTAAAACCGTGCCTACCTTCTACACCATATACTCTTCCTGGTTTCAATCTCATAAGGAATGACCGTGCGATCGGTGGTGGGGGTGGTGTTGGCATATACCTGCGACAGCACATTCCCTTTACCATTGTAAACATGTCGTCACAGCCCCCATCACCGGACGCTGGCGAGCACCTCTTTATAGAACTAGTAGTTAATCATGCGAAGATTTTACTTGGTGTTTACTATTCTCCCTCGTTGCGTACTAATTACTTTTCCTCTTTTGAAAAATTACTGGAAAACTTATCTCCCTCTTATAGCCACACATTAATAATGGGCGATTTCAATACCTGCTTGTTGAAAAATGACCATCGCTCTTCTTCACTACGCAGAATTGTGGACTGTAATAACTTATCACTCTTAACACTTGATGCTACACATCACTTCCCTAACTGCACTCCCTCTCTTCTTGATCTTATCCTAGTCTCTTCTACTGATCATGTCATCAGCCATGGTCAGTATTCCGCTGATGCTTTTTCCTATCATGACTTGATATTTCTCTCTTATGCTATCCGACCACCCAAGGCAAAGCCGAGAATTGTTGAGCAGCGTAATTTTGGCGCGATGAATCTTGTAAGACTTAAGGAAGATGCGCGAAACATCAACTGGAACAATTTGTTAAATTCGCAGTGTGTTAATGATAAAGTCCAAATATTCACAGATAACTTGATACAGCTCTATAACGTCCACGCGCCCTTGCGATCAATAAAACTTAAACATTTACCGGCTCCATGGCTTACTGAGGAGATACGCAGCATTATGTCCAGGAAATGTATAGCGAAAAGCAAATACAAGCGTCGACCAACCGAAGCGAACCTGGAAAAATATGTGTACCTGAGAAATCTCTGCAATAAGATGTGTAGAAACGCACAACGCCAACACATCCACTCTTCCGTAGAAAACGGAGATCCAGCAAAAGTCTGGAAATTTCTAAGAACATTGGGAGTCGGGAGGTCTCGCCAAGAGCCTATTCCCAAAAATGTCAACATTGACTTACTCAATAAACATTTCTCTGCCTCGTCTGACATTAGTGACAGTACAAAAGCTAATACTCTTAGATATATTTCTACTACCCCTACTCCCAACTATCCACCTCTCGTCTTTGATCAGTTGTCTGCTTGTGATGTTAGGAAGGCCATTCTGGCGATCTCATCCAGCGCAGTGGGAAGTGACTGCATCAGTCGAAATATGATTATTCCTATCCTTGACGAAATTCTACTTATCCTATGCAATATCCTTAATCACTCCGTCACAAGCGGTGTTTTTCCATCTGCATGGAAAGATGCCCAAGTAATCCCTCTTCCAAAAAAAGCTAAACCCTCTTCATTTTCTGACTATCGGCCCATATCTATTTTACCTTTCCTATCCAAAGTACTTGAACGCCTCATCCACTCTCAACTGACTAACTTCCTCTCCAAAAATTCTCTACTGAACCCCTTCCAATCCGGTTTTCGCCCTGGCCATAGCACAACTTCTGCGCTGGTACACATTACAGACAGCATCAGACTAGGCATGGATAGTGGAAAGATCACAGTTCTCACCTTACTTGATTTTAGCAATGCCTTCAATACTGTGGATTTTCACATTCTGCTTGGCGTACTACGGTCTCTTAACATATCTCCAAGGACAATTGATTGGTTTCATAGTTACCTGTCTGGTCGCCGGCAACGGATTTGCATTGATGACTCCATGTCCTCTTGGTGCAGTATTTCTGCTGGTGTACCGCAGGGTGGCGTTCTATCTCCATTACTCTTCGCTGTTTTTATAAACTCAATCTCTAATCAACTAAGTTCCTTCTACCACCTTTATGCAGATGATTTACAAATATATACACAAGCTCCGATTAACATGTTATCGGATGCATTCAACATAATTAATGCTGACCTTCAACGCATTGGCGAGTGGAGTTATAACTATGGACTTATGATTAATCCTATGAAGACACAGGTGTGTGTTATTGGCAGCCCCAGGCTGATCTCAAAAGTTAACTGGACTCTACTGCCCCAAATTCAGTTCGGTGGCACAACTCTTGAGATAAGCACCACTGTAAAAAATTTAGGGATCTACATAGACAACACTTTATCATGGGGTTCACAGATGCAAGAGGTAAGTCGCAGGATATTTGCTTCAGCCGGTTCTCTTCGAAGACTACGCAAATTCCTTCCAACTGCAACTAGGGTTGCGCTTGCACAAGCACTTCTCCTCCCAATTCTCGACTATGCCGATGTCAGCTATCTGAATCTCACTGAAGCACAACTCGACAAGCTTGAGCGACTTCAAAATATGTGTATACGATTCGTATTTGGTTTACGAAAATACGATCACGTCTCTGAATTCCGTCAAATGCTCAAGTGGCTTCCAATTCGCTCTCGCCGGAATACTCATATCCTCATTTTCCTTTACAACATTTTGTTTAATCCCAAAACCCCTTTCTACCTCAAAGAACGATTCAAGTTCCTTAATGACACACACGAAAAATGTCTGCGGTCATCCGTAAGTTTACAACTGGAGATGCCACTGCATTCCACCAAATTTTATGATCAATCCTTCACTGTTGAAGCTGTGCGCTTGTGGAATGCACTGCCGCTTAACATCAGGCAGGCGCAAACATTAAACAGATTTAAGAAAATGGTACAGGACTTTTATTCACCTTAATTGAGTCCATCACGCTTGAGGGTGTAACGAAACTGTTTCTCTTTCTATATGTTTATTCATTTAAGAATGCGTATTTATATATGTATGTGTATATGTATATTTGCTGGTATAGTATGTAGGTACTTATTAAAATGTAGGTTTATTTATTGTGATATGCATTGTAGATGTAAGTATAAAAATTGTAAATGTTTGTAGATAATATAATATGTCTAGTATATGTAATGTGTATAGTAGATAATGATAAACTAATAGTAGTTTCACAAAGATATTCAACTACTACTGTCTCTCTGCAACTTTTGATCCATCCTAAGGTTGCCTGGAAGAAATTGCATTTAGCAATAAGGCCGCCCTTTGTACACTCGATATTTGATCGCTGTGTTCCTTTCTTGTAACTCTGTAATTTAGTGTGCAAATAAAGAGTTTTCTATCTATCTATCTATCTAAGATGACCCTCTGAGGTCGTTATGTTTTCTTATTCTTTTCAATAGCGCACGTGTTGTTTCAGGTGAAGCGGTAAGCGCGCCCAGCCTGGCCGTGTCCTCGCCGGGCCGCACTGCGCCCGCGCCGCTTACCACGCCGGTCAGTATACTAATATAATTAGACTTTAAATATTATCTAGTTACATATTATTATGTTTACGGGGATTCAGGCAGACAGTCAGTCATAACGTGAACACGGCCAGGGAAACCTTGTCGAAACGTCAGGCAATTGAAAGATGTGTAATAACTCTCGTAGTTCCCGTAAACATAGCTATATTATAGAACGTAATTTTTCTTTTATTTTAAAATGGTTCAGAAAATAGAATATAATTACATGTTTCGATGTTCACTTGCTCTCTCGAGGTTCAATCTTGCCTAATATTGAAAATATTTATTTCTCCTATGTTTTTCCAAGCATATTGTATGAAATATAGAAAGGGTCGGCCCCAGGTTGTGTACATAATCTGAAGTCCTTAAGGCACAACCTTGCCCAAATGTGGGTTATTTCATGATGATCTGCCGCTCTCTCAATATGTGTCTGGGCGACCGGATGGTCGGCATTAAGTTATTTTTTCATTAACTTTTTCCCTGTAATCGCACATCAGTAAAGTGGGAAGTGGTCGTAAAAGTAGCCGCATACCACATAAAGTTAACACGTCCTTCTTGCGAAGAAAATCCGACTTAGCGCGATTTTATCTACTTAGAGTTGTCGTTTATTTTATGTGACCGTTTGGCGAGGGAGTCCGTCGAGTGGAGGCAATGAGTCGGCGGCTGAGTCTACGTATCTTTATAGCGGTCGATGCCGATAGCCCGCGGCCCGCTTCGCACGTACTAGCTAGTGGCCCGGTGCGGTTATCTGCGACGCCCCGCGGGACACATTCAGCTAGGCCGGCGTCACTCGCAACCCATCATCACTCACCACGCGTCCTTCCCGTCGTCTATCAAATGACTGTGTAGCACATATTCACATCCCCGGAGGCCTGTGATATACCACCTAAAGTGTGAGAAATTCGCCAATGAATATTTATTACTTACGTTGTGCCCCGGTCAGGGAATAGTTTGACAGCTCTTAAATACTATGTTCGTAAACAATTCAACAACGTACTAACCGCAGGCACAGACCGAAGTGACGTAAGATTACTTCACATTGGCATCGTAGAGCCCACTGTGTATGTAGTGTTCTTGAGGATGAGTTGCGGCAGACACGCGGTACGGTACCTATTCGGTTCTACACGGAGCTGTACGGCCGCGGCGCACGCGAAAACTTCTCAATTAAAATATTTCACCACATATACGAGTACAGGCGCCGCAGCGCCTCGCACCAAAGATTAAAACATCGCGCGATCTCGACGGCATTAAACTTTATCGTATTTACGCGAAACTTTCATCGCGAATTTACTTTGCCGAGTCCTCATCAAACAGAAACATGGAAGTTCATCTAACTCAGTTACGAACCGATAAAGTAACGAACGAGTTGAATTTAAATTCCGGCCAAAGTCAGTTAAAACTGACGACGACCTAGGGGGTTCATGTTAACCAAGTTTCTGATGGTACTTGCGGTGCCCTACGACAGAGGCACGAATTTAATCTTAGAATGGGTGCGCGCCGATCAGCTGCCCTAATACGTAAGGTTATATAATTTTTTTTTTAAATATTATAGTCACGCTTAAATCTATCTTCCCCTGAAATATTATTATTTTAATTAGATCTGCTACTTTATTCCAAAGTCGATGAGACTCATTATGTATGTGTAGTTAGGCAAACTTGCTCTCCGTCTTAAGGACAAGCTTACACTGTTAGTGTCGTTGTGTCGCTTCACTGTTTAAACAAAACGAAATGTTGATTTTTTACTTTTGTCTTCGACTTTGTTCACTGTGGAAATGAAGTAAGTACCACAGATAACATAGACTACCGTTTTTGTTGTTAATTTGTTGTCATACTCCCGTCATCATCGTCAACTTCTATTCCTTGCTTTATTTGGAATCGAAATAATGTGTAACATTGCAAAGGGTTTTGGATGGTTCCTTTGACGGGTGGCGGCCTACCGGACGCTTACCCTTATTGGGTTTATTTATCGTTATGTAATCGTTTTTACACAGGACATAAGTATAATGTAGAAGGCGAGGGATCTCGGGAAGGGAAACACAATAAGATAGGGTAATTACAAATCGTGATCATCAATAAACGGCAATTCCAGTCCAGCACTCAAAGGTTTTATCTTTCAAAAGTCGCTTTATGACGACATTCAGTTTTGTTGTAGTTAAAGTTTGACACTGTAAGTTTGTGTACGCCATCACCTCTAGCAGCGGAACGCGGCTCTAACAATAGCTGGAGAGTTTGCTGGCAATAAATCCACCGCTCCAGCTGATTAACTGCACGAAGTTGTAGCGCCTCCTCATTGTCCGAGACACGCCGTCCCGACAACGAGACGCTTTAATTAAGTTCCTCGTTGGTATTACCTGGGGTGGCGTCATTTTGTCACCTGCACCGCGCGCCACGCCCCACGTGTTCTGAATTAGTTTGAATGTCCCATTAATGGGGGGGAAACAATGGCACGGCTAATTCCACGGAGATGACGCACCCGATAGCAATGATTACAGCGGCCAACGTCACGTGACACGGCGCACAGCCTTCAAATAGAGGCACATGAGTTACCATAAAAGGGACTAGTTCATTAGTTTGTCCATATGTGTAGTAATTAAATTGGTTTAATGACTACGTACTTAGTCGAATTGTATGAACATAATTGTGACGATCATGATTCAGTTACTACCTACGTGAGGTGAAACTTTGGTGCTCTACTGCAATACAGTATCAGTATTACAATAATAACTTGAAAGTCCCTCTTATTTCGAGTTAGACAGAGGAAAATGTGCACTCTCACTCTCTCACTTGGGTAACACCATGCATCTGTCATGAAACAGCGGATCGATGTAAAAAAATGTATCCTTCTTTGATTACGTTAATATATATGTATAGATTAGTAAAGTATGTGATTAAGAGACATTTGTGATGCAGGCGTGTAACGGGCCGGGCGCGTCGTGGACGTGGAGCGCAAACGGGCGCGAGGCGGGCGCGGAGGCGAGCGCGGTGGCGGGCACGCTGGGGCGCAGCGCGTCCGCAACGCTCCGCGCCGCCGCCGATCTCAACGTGGACGCCATCAAAGAGAAGCTGCTAGACCACCGGATCCCTGAGTCGTGCGTGTAGTCGCACCGTCAGCAACGCGCCGATGTATAAATATACTCGTTATTTGAGACTGTAAACACACCGAGTGGGTATTAAGAGGTTTCAGTTCGATCTCAGACTTTTTGTGATGGTGACAGATTCTAGAGAGTGCATGATGACTCTTAACCCGTACGAGTGATCGTCGATGGGGAGGGACAGAAGGTCGTCGAGAGCGTGGTGCTCCGATCGGCCTGCGACGTATTGTCCTAAGTGTAAATGTTGTAGCTAGCGTTATTTCCTGGGTGTCATAAATTGTGACGTCACGTCCTGACTGGGCGACGCTCTCGGTACATCATAATTTGATATCACGAGCCAATAGATTATCCGAATTTACGGTGACAACGTACGTATACATCCATATGTGATCAAGTGGATACAACCCGGTGGCCGAGTCCCTACCCGAGGCGAGCTTACTTTTTGATTTGTCTTTGTAATAATTGTAGTGTACGTGTCTTTAAAGATAACATATATACAAATATAGTTTTTGGTTACGGCGTCTTGTCACGTCGTCAAAACTTAGTGCTGCCGTGATTGCGTTGAACACCCGTGTTTGAAATCGGATAGTCTCTCCGGCTCCCCGCGATCTGTGGTCATCTCCTTAGACAATTTATAATTTTATTTAAAACGGTTGTAAATAGTAGACTTTAAGCGACTGAGTCTTTGCCACTTTTTTACATGTCTACGAAACTAGATAATAAATTTACCAGTTAATAATACGATAGGTAAATCTATTCATTGTTATCTGTATAAAATCTGATTTTATGTAAATAATGTTTGTACTCGCTCCTAAGGTTTTAATGTCGGCTTACGAGTGGCGCCGCCCTCTGTACAGGACACATCGACGCTGCCACGCGACGCCACTTCCACTCCGGTAACCGTACCGTACTAGGTGTCAACGACGCGGCGGGACTTCCGCGGAGGTCACTGGTGCTGTCTCCCTTTCACTAAGTGATCCTCACATATCTGTTGTACGCGTCAGGCCCTGGTCAACACACCGTTGCACATACGACACATTTGACGTCGAATTTTGTCCAAGAAGTGAACGATCTGACTCTCCTGGTCTCTCACTTTTAGTATTACAGAATGTATTAAATATAAATGTAAAAGCCAAAATATTTAGGTAACTCAACTAGGAAACTTAATGAACGTCATAAATATACAATACTCCTCGACTGTCAAGGCAAACATTTCGCTTAGGATGCAAGACAAAGTGCCACTACATATGTAGAGCGAACAGACGATGTAGTGACTAGTAAATGCGGTAGCAAATTGAGTGCTACGCGGAAGGTATTCCGCGTAGCACTCAATTTGAGACCTCCTTTCTCTAAATGATTGTCTCAGAAGCGCTACGAGTCACGACTAACATATCAACAAACTATAAATTAGTTTTTACCTGTAATAATCAAACATTGTAAGTATAATAAGTTTTTAATATTGACTTGGAAATTGTGTAGTATATAACGAGCTTATTTTGTATGACTGAATGTGAGTATTTAGGAAATAACAGACATATCGTCCCACTAGGTACATATCAGGCCTTGTGTCGTCACGCTAGATAGGAGTACTGGTATACAAGCCCTACATATGATCGGCGGTGTGTTGACGGGAACGGCGCGCTCCCAGTGGTCATACGTTTAAGCTGCGCGACGGGCACGAAGGTGTCACGTTCAGTCGCTGACAGACTGACACTCCTGAACTTGTAGATACTAACCACTAGGTACTATATATTATATATGTATTTGTAAGTGTGTACCGCGGCGGCGGCGCAGGGAGCGGGCGCTGCGCTCGGTGCGTCTCAAACGTGATTTGTTAATATAAAGGTTTAAAACAACTCAAAGAGTTCGCCCTACTGTTGACATTATTTATTTTGAACGAGATTAAAGGTTGTCTTGGAAGTAGCAAGTCTTTTATTGAAACCCCACCGCAACTATCTGTTCCTGAGGCCCACGACTAAGGAAGTGGGACAACGACGAATTATCTGTTGTAGTCGACACACGGCGTTACGGCTATATCTGTCTACCAATAAATATATATATAATGCATACACCTGTATGTTAGACAGGTAGCGGAATATTGTATCATATAATCATTTGTAAGTTCAATATTATTATTATTATTTTTGAATGACGGCTTGAAACTGAATAAACGGCAAGTTGTCTCCAAAATTAAATTCAAATGTATTAATGGTTTAGCGACTCTCTATTCGAAGAACTTATATATATTCTTAGGGCTGTTTTATATATATATATATATATATATATACTAAGGAACTAAGGAAGGAAGAACTAAGGATATATATCTCATTACCACATATATACAGATCAAAAACGAATACCGCGATTAAGCAAACGTAGTGTAGGGCGCCCTGCAGCACGATAGACCGACGACTTGGCTGGCGCTTCTTGGGGGAGGCATTTTATTCAGCTTTGGACGGCAGTAGCCTGATGATGATGACAAGAATAACTTATCTCGCAAATACATTTTTTTCGCAAGTTTGTGACAGAATACTGACAGAGCTATCTCGGAATTTCTCTGTGAACTTTTTTATACTTCAATGTCACAGATGAACGTGAAGGCTGCCCTCTAGCGGTGAGGGCCAAGATTAAAACGCAACCAACTTTATCTACCTTAACGCTCTTTGCGTAACACCTACACTCGCCAAGAGATGGCGTGATAATGGGATAAATTATCTGATACTATAATTTACCTCTACTCTGCTACTTTCACTCTGATAAATTTTATTATGCGTTCTAAATAACCTAGGCATTTATTTAAATAAAACTTTAAAAGTGAATACACTAAAAATTCTTAATCAGAAACTCAAAGGTCCGAGCATTTAAAGTACCAAAATAAGAACCTATTTCAATATGCGACACGCTTTCAGGTCGGTATTCAGTAGGCAGGAGGTTTTTGACTTGAATATTAAAAGGAGGCCAAATCAAGACTGACACGGAAAATAGAGCGATTATTATAAACTACTAGAATATTTTTAATAACAAATTATTCCTTTAAGGTCTCAAAGTCATCCACCAGGAAGCATTAAGCTTTGTTCGATCTTCTGGACATGTTATAAAGAAGGTTATAATAAAAGCAGATGTTAAACAATAGCGCTGTATATTATATAATTTGTAGTCTTTAATATAAGCACAAATAATGTCTGCGGGTTATATGATTAAATAACTGAAGCCTATACGGATACAACGGATTCATATGTATATGTAGGTATAGGTATTATAGTCGAGCCAGGCGGTTACATCTCGCGCGGCCGACAAGAGGCAGTAGAGTAGAGCTAGTAGACTTCCACACTCTCCTGGTGGTGCACGGTGTCCTGACGGAACATCTCCACATCGGCTTGGCTGTCTGCGTGGATCACCTTCGCGCGCCCCTCCTAACCAACAACTCAGCTTTACTTTTGCATTCAATGATTAAAAGCCTCTAGTTTACTATATAACACTATTTAGATATTCTGTCGCCATTAAGTTAAAACAGAACTATTAGATGATCGTTTAGCTGATTTTGAACTTGAGGACGGCAGAAAATATAAGAAAATATAAAAAACGTGCTATTTAGATGAAATATACACGTACATCATCAGCGAGCCAGTTTCACACAGTTGACTCGTAGAGGCACGCGACTGGACCCTGGGACAATACGACGCACAGACAACACTCACGACTATCGGATGTGTAGAGTCAATGATCAGTTAGCACAGTGCGCGGTGCAGCCTTCAATAGTCACTACGTGGCATTGATTCATTTCGGTTATCTCTTACTTACTCGTAGCAGAACAAGTAATACTCATTAAATAGCATCATTTATAGCAATTACTCTTTTTTCATTCGGTCTCTTCAATTAATTGATTGCTAGTTAAAAACTTGTTAACGCACTTGTCTGTGCTAAGTTTTTTAACAATTTAATTACCTGCTAATTTATACATAATTATAGTATAGTATACATAACAAAATACTAGTAGTTGGTTAGAGTTGAGCCAATTAACGGCGTGCAAACTAACAAGCAGAGTTTAATGGACTGGCAAACTAAAAAGTCAAACCAGCCGACACGCGTACTGACTTTTAAACATTTGTAGTGCAAAACGATCTCCGATGAGTTACCAAGTGCCAATCGTCATGGAGAGCTTACCTTTGGGTGCATGAGAATGAACGGCAGTTCGGCGACGAGCTCGCCGCTGAGCGCGCCCAGGTACAACTTCACCTTTACGCTGTAGCTTACCACGATGCCGAAGGCATCGCGTTGCTCTGGGTCCAATAGTCTGCGATACATAACAACTACTCATTATAAACTCAGTCATAACGGAGAAGAGTGTACCTGCAGTCTCCAGAGAGGTCCTCAGCCAGGGATAACTAGCTGAGTGATCGACTGAACCCTTCAAGGTAGAATGAGCGAGTCGCAATTGAAATATTGAATGTTGTTCAAAAATAATTTTGTCAAGGATAGTTTATCTTAAGAAAATGTTTATATACTCATAATTTACTTTTTGGATTATAATACTATCTGCTCGTACTTTTATATTTCTTTCGCAACTAAGCGCTGTCCTAATTCTACCGTAAGGGTGAACAAGCACAACTTAAAGGTTGATGGTACTCACAGTGTGGTGGAGGCTAGCGTGGTGTCGTCGCGTTTGAGTTGTCCGTCGAGCGCAATGCCACGCTTGTCACGGTTAGTTGTCAGAGTGGGCGTCAAGTGCAGCACCTTCTGAAGGCTGGAGCCCGGCTGCAGCGGGCAACCGTCTCTGTTCAATACATCACGTCAACAAATACCTATGCTGTCACTACATGTATCGTTACAGCTATGGTTGCTTGTACTAAGGCACGCTTACCATTGTTGAGCGTTTCATTATTATTACCCAACTGTGTTCATAACATGGACATAATAGTAAATTTAGAAAACTATTGTATAAGCAAGAATTAAACAAATGCAATTAAAAACATTTACAGACTAGCACTTTAAAAACGTATTATAGTAAACTTGCGTAATGCAAGTACCTTTACTACAATGAGTTCTTAAAATGTCGGTAAATCTGCTGCATATACTAACTGGGTTTCGATGCTGGCCACAATGTTCCTGTACTGTCCGCTCTGGAACAGCACGACGTCGACGCCCTGCTGGACGCACGCCTTGATCTTCTTCACCACCTTGTTGCTGTGGTTACGCACGCACATGTTCACAGCTACTGTCTCGCCGTGGATGTACAACTGGAATGTGAGGTGTGATCAACTTAATCTGCCTACAATTCTGAGTCTCAAAAGTAAACATTTCCTCAGTTAAGTTGATTGATGACTTTGTTATTTTAGGTTGCTTTGTTAAATTAAGCTGTGCCCGGATCCCTCTTATTTTAGGCCCACTACGGCACCTCATGTGGTTTTAGTCGGTTCGAATACGACACACTGCTCCACCGCAAACCCCGGTACAAAAAAAAGATAGCTTAAAGAGTTCATTGGTGAAGGTTAACTGAGTTCATATCAGTCAGCCCAAGGGCGTGATTAAATGACTTCAACCACGCGCTTCGGCTGACTGATATGACTTAGTAATTATTATTCTTATTATAATTAGGAAGTCATAAACAAAACACACTTTAGCATTAATTTAATAAAAAAATGCCGCATCAAGGATAGGAAAGTATTTTTTTTTCATTCTTTATTTTAATTTTCGTATAAATTTAACGGTTTAAAACCTTCAATTCGAAACAATTTATTTTACAACATAAAGTAAATAATAACAAAAACATTAAATAATTCAAGGTTTAACGAACATAAAATATATAGTTCAAACATTGCCATTTACTCGTATATCAAGTGCTATCTTTTACCTGTTTATCAAGCGTCAGCTCCAGCTCCAACTGTCCCGGGGAGAGGACGAAATCTTTACGCACCACCGTGCAGGGCTGCGGGCCAGGCTTCGAAGGCGCATACTGCAACTTGCGAATACCCAAAGCCACTGTGCTCCTGAACAGACCAACCACGAAAAACTTTTTCAAGGTATATTGTGGAAAAAAATGGCAGGCAAGCAAATAATCGATACATTCTTAAAACAATATTCATTACTTTATTAGTGAAGTAATGAGCAAGAGTACCTGCGATGTGAGCGGTCAATCTCGGAGTCTCCAACGAAGATCTTGACGTAGTAGTGCACTCCGCACGGCTCGCCATCGTCCTCGAGACCCGGCTGCAGAGTCACTGAGCCGGGCGCGCCTGGAGGCACTGACAGTCGGAATGCTACCGCCGACTCGCCCAGCTTCTTCATGAGCCGCTCCTGTACACCATACATGTGACGTAACATAGCGACAGTTTCAGAAATAAGTACTTATTTTTATTTTTGAAAAGTCGCAATGAGGTAAAAGCAAAGTGAGTGGCGGCTTGCTAATGCGTTCGTACTGAGTGTGAATATGAGTACCTGGGTACGAGATAGTTCGTAGGACCTCTTCTCCGGAGGTGGGTAGATCTGCTCCGATGCAAGGAACAGCTCTTTATAGAAGTTGAGACCCATGACCTCGTCCTGCTCGCGCCCATAGCGGAAAGTGCACACCATCTGTCCGTAAACTTTACGGCCGCGTACGTACTCTTCATCTAATAGCACCACGCCATCTACAGATAACACTTGTACAATATCACTACCGTTACGTGTACAAAATGTACAAATTACATGACAAATGTCAAGCGTCGTTATATAACGTAGATGCTACAAATGACTTATCTACATAAACATATAACGGACCTATGGGTTCCACGAAAGTGATGTGATCGATGAAGTCGCGCTTGGCCATGTATAACGTGACCTTGCCGTTGGGCGCACACTTCTTGAACACTTTGAAATTGTACACCATTTTGTAAACAGTTAGAGAACTATCAGCTGAAGGGCAGTAGGTACAGAGCGATGTGGTCGCCGTACTGTAGAGGGTGGCATGCGTCCGCGTTTATATAAGGGATTATTAGCCGGCGAGGCTTCTTGGTACCAGTAATCTCATTTGTCTCATTAGCGAGTCACGTGAGCTTTGGTGGCCACCAGCACGGCCACAGTTTACACCCGATCAACGTTTGTCGTACATAATTATATTAATCTGTGACTCACTCATAGCACTACAAAGGTCATGATATTACTTCTGTTAAAAAGACAATGCTATTCTAGGAAATCCCTTATACGGCTTAATGCTGGATTTGTGTAAGCAGGACAGAACGTCTGCTATAAACCTGCATTCGCATGTAACAAAACTTCTTAAGTAAAGAGCACTTCAGACGAATCATAAAAAAAGACAAACTATATTATTTATTTTTATTTATGTCACAGTTAGTGTCACAGGCATTTTCTCTCAGTCAATCTTTAGGTGGTGGGGAAATGTCTGAGTTGGTGCACTAGAAATTAAGTTTTTTTTTTTAAAGATCATAATTATAGTTAATTGAGGAGATTTCCATTAACAGTGGGACAGATATATTTAAATACACACTAAAATACACATACACATTCATCACAACTTTATAGTTGGGATGAATCTGCTGGCCTGAGTATCGACTTAAAGAGAAGCGGCTGGGTGCTATCCTGATTTCGAGAGATAGCGCGTTCCAAAGGAGTACAGATTGGATTAGGAACGAAGAGTGGACACACGCTTAAGTATGAGTGGGACATAACAGGAGTGCATTGCTTGAGGAAAGGAGGGTTCTGTCGTGATTAGAACATAGAAATTGGAATGAGGATGTAAGGTAGGAAGGGGGGAACTATAATGACAAGGATGGATTTACAATACTACTATATTTACTATACTACGCTATTTGCTTTTATAAACACAATTTACTTGTATGTACATACATAGAAATTCTTTTCATATCATCTCGATCAAATCATGAAACACTTAATTGACCAAAACCATTAAATGATTTACAATTCATTCAAAGTGATTACTCCTCCAATAATATTACGCATTAAAACACTTATAAAGTTAAAATTATGTAACAGGTAAGTTACTAATAAATGAAATAAATAGAAATTTCACAAATTCAACTTAAGATAAAATTTAGTCACAAAATTAAAATCAAGATTATACGAGTAATACAAATTTGTTAATTCTGAATCAAACTAAAACAAAAGAGTGCTACAACCAAATAAGGTGTTTTTTTGTTTTTGACAACGAATAACATTACAAATCAGTCAACAATACAATGCAGTCATTCATTTGTGTGAACTGGTTGATGATGCATTTATAAAACTTACTAATGTTATCATGATGTAAATCAATCAAATCACTGCAGCCATTCAAAATTTTGCATAATCTGGGTAAAAGTGAGTTAGTGCCTGACATCGTTCTCCTTAATTGTGGGCACAGCGGTGTAATACTGTTTCGAGGATATCTAGACGGAGCCCTGAACCTTATGAGACTCAGTAAATCTGGACAATCGATTGGGTTTCTCACGATTTTAAATAAAAATAATGCATTAAACACGTCTCTGCGCATAGATAGTGGGTGTATCCTAAAACACTGCAGTCGGTTGCTAGAAGTGGTCAGATGTTTATCTTTGCCTGAAGATAATGTAAGGTACGATAGATAGCGCTTCTGAACGCACTCTATGCGTAACGTGTGCACGGCATAGTGGGGTCTCTACACAACACAACAGTATTCCAAGATACTCCTCACGAGACTATAGTATGACAGAATTTTTGTGTTGCTTTTGAACTCTCTAGTATTCTAATAGAAGTCTAATATTCCTAATGTTATTATAATGTATTGGACTTTATCTCTAACAATTTGTAGTGTTTTTTTTATTGTTTGTAATTATTGTTTTTTCCTCCTGACATTATTATTTTGATTATAGTTTGAGTTTGAATGTTGATATTGTATGTATCACAATCTTATTATAGTAATCAATGATGCTAATAATATACCTATAGGTTTTTTTAAGTTATGTTTAAATTATATGCAATTATAAATGTACAAATTGAAAATTTGCACACCCATAGTGATAAATCACAGTGAACCTGTTGTGAATGAATACCATGTAATTAATACCTGTGTTATGCAAATAAACAATCTGAATCTGAATCTGAATCTGACTTAAGGGAGTGAGCTCTCCTTGTGAGTTTTAGGTGATAACATTTTTCAGTGTTTAGTTACATTTTGTTATACCTACACTAATTAATGAGTCTGTTTAGATCGTCTTGCAGGAGTTCGTGGTATTCGTGGTATTCCATGCCCGTTACTATATACTGTGCATATAGCCACTATACCCGATACTGTGCATAAAATTCTTGAACACAGCGCGGAAGTTATAAAATCTTTTCTTCTCCCCATTGGACAACTCTCCGAAGAAGCCCAGGAGGCAAGAAATAAAGACTGTCGTTGATTCCGTGAATGGCACACCAGGAAGCGGTCACGTATTGCCACAAATACAGATCTTTTGAGAATGCTTTTAATTACGTCTGATCCTGTTATCAACTCGTATAGAGAATTACCACGAAGAAAATTTACTTCTTTGCCATCGGAGGTTCTGCAGTTGATTATCGCACATTCATTGCCATCCGAAACACCATCAGTAAGTCATCATCACGAAATAAATGAGGAGGATTATTTACTCTATGGATATTCTACTGAATGGGAGAGTGATGGTGATTAGTAGGTTTAAGTATTTTTTTATTGTTATTGGTTTTCTTATTTTATTGTGTGTTGTAGTTGCTTATAATTCATGCCTTAGTACATAAGTTATTTAATATTATATTTCACATTATTATATATTATATACACCTTGCTATTGTAAATAATTGAAATATAGATACTGTTATTGTACTAATTTATTTTAAAAGAAATAATATTTTGTAAATTAATAAATGTGAGTACTATCATTATGATTTTAATTTTTTTACCAGAAATTTCTTTGTCAACAAACATGAGTGTGCTTTCCACACATAATGAGTAGGTAGACGTAGCTATTTAAAAAACAATTAGCGACAATAGTGAACAAATGAGACACATTAGTAAACCACTTCCGTCTTGCAGCTACATATTTCGATTAATACACATACAGTACATATTTTTCAACTGTTTTTTTCTTAAAATAGTTTATGATACCCGGAATATACATAAACAATTGAAATAAGTAAAGAAATAATATTGTCCCGCTAGCTTGTACTAGTCGATACACTGTGCATCGGTCGGGTGGTTATGTCGGACTCGAACCGACCAAAAACCGCACTCCGTCTCGGGTACCAGTTGCCGGGGAACTAGGTCTCTCCAAGAATGGAAATCCCTGGTAGCCCGACGTACCTCAGACCATCTACGGCGTGTAGATGACCCCCTCCTGTGTGGGAACCCCTATGTCCCCTTTGTGCTCCGGAAAAGGGTAGCGTGGTCTCAGCGCGTCTCGGTACCACCCCGGCCTGCTTCTGCTAGGGTGACAGATGGCCTCATCTACCACCCCCAGGCCAGCGCTTATGGAGGACCAGGGCCAGGTACCGCAGACGACTCAGGCTTGGTGGTCCGGGAGAGTTCTAAACCTCTCCCGGTCCCGCTCCGCCATCACCTTCGCAAGCATAACTTGCTCGCAGAAGGAGACGGTGGAGTTCCACGCACTCTCGCTCCGTACTATAGCGGCAATCATGTTACCGAGTGAGAGACTTCCCACTCCGATGTCCGCCACGCGGTCGCGCCTCTGCTCAACCCACGCCGGGCATTCTGCCAGCCTGTGGAGCGTCGTGCCCAGGGGCTGGCCATCGCAGTGGTGGCACTCAGGCGTTTTCTTCTTTGTGAATCAGACACAGATGATCTCCGAAGCTTCCTTTCCCGGTGCTCACCTGCGTCAACCGGTATGTTCCGTGATGACTCTCGAGTCAATCCTCCAATACTTGCTTCTCTTCTCACCGCCGCGATAACGGCCACACCCACCGTCTTCACATTTCCAACTTAATCAATTCCTCCTTCTATGTACAGTCAGTTCATCTCTGGAATGCGCTCCAAGTTGAAATCAGGATGTCCACTAACCGCTTTACGTTCAAGAAGAAAGTACAAGATCTTCTTCAAAATGAGTTGGCAGAAAGCTCACGATGCTTGTACCCGACTGTTTATTATATATTATTGTATATATTTATGTATTTATAAATGTGTATGTTTGTGTATACTTGGGACCTCTATGTATATATGTAGTAATGAATACAGTATTTTTATTTATAGCATATAGTGTATATATGTAAGTTAGATTTATCTTAAATTAACAAATTTAATATAAATAAAGTCAAATTCTCTGTTTTCTCTCTGCACCTACCGCATCATTTTTCTACATCACCCAAAGGTCGACAGGCAGAGAATGCCCTGGGCATTAAGTCCACCTATGTACAACTTGTGCATTAAGTTAGGTATATAAATAAATAAATATGTTTATATTTATCCCGGCCGGCTATATATTGTTGTTGAGTGTGTGTGTGTGTGTTTGTGTGGTGTTAAACAACGAAATGTATCATATCAATGAGTGCATATTAAAAAATAATTGCCGATTTTGTAACAGTCAATCACATCCTATCACAACAATACACTGATATGCCACTAATTAGAAGACAGACATAATTAATAAAACTAACTAATGAGAGATAGTGATGGTATACCTACGATTGAATGAATCAAGCGCAGCGCAGGTCGTTCACCCATCTTTCCTAGAATAAGACGCTATCTCTTTCCCACCACACCCTCAACATATCAACAGAACTGAAATAGAATGACGCTCGACGCAGCTTACGTCACCCGTATATCGCACTCCATATCTTCACTTCGTTTTGTTTCTACTTTAATATTGCTTGAGATGCAATTAAGGAATAAACAAATTTGATTTGTACATAAACAGTTAATTGATTTAATATCAAACGTTGTCAGTATGCATTTAATACGGTGCATCACTACGATGACGTCACTGAGGTGGTCCGGTTTCTTTCTGCATAGTCGGCGAGTGGAGGCCCCGGCGTCCCCTCCCCGCGAGAGAGGCCCCTTCACAACAACAGACAACAGTTACTCGCTCGCCGACTCGCAACGTCTTCAATATTCATTTTCTTCAAATCCTTTAGTCGAGTGACACTTATGAGTTTAAGTTACCTACTGTTTGACTAGTGCTAAAATGTTACAAATTACAGAAGTTTTTTTTGGTCTAAATAGTGAGGAGTATTGCAGTTAGTGCCCGACAGTGTCAGTGTCAGACAGCAGAGGCATAGTTGGCTGGAGAGCCGCCGCGTCCGCAATATTTCTGTGAAGGCGCGTGCGCTGCCGTCGCTCTGCAGCGACTGATAGGTAGGCCCTAACACTATATTTTTTTACATTCTATACGTATTAGTGTAAACAAGTATGGCAATGTAGGCACTCTGTAGAACAGGTTTGTGTAGTCACTTGAATGGACAAACTTGTAAACAACAATCCGACGCGACGCACAGGTAAATGTTTTAAGGTCGGCAAATCAATAATATAAATACTGTTTCAATCGTCGACACAATGAGAAAACATTTCCTGCAAAACAAACAAAATAAACACCTTACCGATCTTTAATAAAAGATTTGTATTATATTTCATCTTAGGAGTTTATACTAAACTATTAATTTGTATGTTTTAGAAACCAACATATTTATGCTTTATTACCCTCGATAAATCTACTTGGATAATGAAATGCCATATAAAGGCACAATAGGGAATATGCAAGTATTTTTTTTATTTTTTTAAACGATTGTACTAGTTATTACATTACCAAAAATAAATATAACACATCCGAAATATAAACCGTTAAGCAAAAATTTTTTTATTAAAATCACCATCATTTTGGGGCAATTTGAACACGTCCATTTTGGCGCGCTTTTTTTGTGACGTCAGATTCCACTTTCAGACGAATTCGATGTCAACAACGGAGTGAAGTTTACAAAGTTTGTGAAAGTTAAAAAAGTGAGTGATAAAAATTAACTTATTACCATGGAAAAGCCAATAAAAACTTATTATAAATATTGTGCCGTTCCTTTGTGCCCAAATAATATTAAAACTGCACCTGACAAAGTGCAATTTTAAATATTCAGTCATTGTGTTGAGTCTTTCTACACGGGAATTTAATAATTTATCACTGAAAACGTATTAGTTATTAACTTAAAATGAAATAAAAAATCACCAGAAACCAAATATTACAAATACACACAACTTGTTGACACTCTTGACAGTGTAGGTTGACGTCACGTTTTATTCAACCAATAGCGTTGCGTTTTAGAAATTTGGTAGGGAATCTTAAAAAAGCCAATTTTTGATGATTAAATTTCACTATTAAATTATAATAAATTCCAAAAATAATTGTATGGGTATCTTTTTTTAGCAACAAAAATTACAAATAAAAATATTTTGTCCATTTCGGTGTCACGTGCATATTCCCTATTGATTACTGATACAATTGCCTGTACACATACGTAGGTCACTATATAAATTTTGAGACACGCAAAAGTAAGCAATATTACCTACTATTTGTATTATATTTTTTCAAGATAGTCTATATCACCTCTGTCCAAATTTCCATCCGCCTGAACCAGTCTTGGAAACACTTATTCCAGTCTTCCTCCGACAGATCAAAAATGACTGATCTATGAATAAGCCACCGCTTATTTGGCACTTAAAAAAACTTGGCTTTTATCTTATTTTTTATGGTGAGTAATAAAAAGAAGTCACAAGGAGCTGAATTGGGGCTGTAAGGTGGGCGAGGTGGGGTTCCAATACCCGATTCTTGAAAAAACATCTTTGTTCTGAGGAAAGAGTGTGAAGACGCATTGTCATAGTGAAGCATCATTCCCTGGAGCCCGGTCTTTCGTCTTCTCTCCTGCATAGCTTTGAAAACTTTTGGCAATGCGACTGTAGTGTACCATTCTAAGATAACAGACTTACAATTCTCTAGCATTCACGTTGCAAGATGTCCACTCCCTGAAAAAAACTGAACACCAATTTTTTGCCCATGTTCCGCGAGCCATGCAATTTTGTTGGCAACTGGCCATCTGGACACCCTTACCGAAGAATGGTTCTTGCTTTCCGGATTATATTGATATCCATGTTTCGTCACCGTCGCCGTCTAATGATATCAAAAACACGTCTTGACCTCCCATTTTCAACATTCCACACGGACTTCTTTTCCCGTTTCGGAGAGCAAACGAAATACCAAACGACAGCAAAGCTTCATCTTTCTCAGATGTTCATGTAATATGGTATGAACACTAACGGAATTGATGCCAAAGATTTTCCCTGTATGTAATTCGTGGGTCATCTCGCACAAGCATATCAGTAGTCCCTACATTTTCAGCAGTAACTGCTGTTGGCTGGCGTCCACTTTTGTCATCATCTTCAAGGCTAGTTTTTCCCCTTTTAAATTCGTTAAACTACCTAAAATTGGTTTCCCGAGAAGGAGCAGACTCACCTAAAGCTCATTTTAAAAGTTCGAAGCTTAAATCTTCAGATAAACCACATTTAAAGTCGTAATATATCATAGCACGCAAATGTTCACGTTTATGCTCAATTGTAGCAGAGACGAAAAAGCGGGAAATGATGACAGTATAATACTTCTAATTTTTTGTTGTTTTTTTATTGCTGTAAATGGCCTTATAATAATATATGACACAGATGCGTTTATTTACAAATTTCGAGCATCTCAAAACTTATATAGTGACCTATGTATTTACTTTCGTACAGAAAGTCAGTAAAAGAGACTCTGTCTCAAGCTTCAATGGAAATTTTCTTCATAATTCCAGCACGAGCCCTCTTTGATTGAGCACAGTGCAGGATGTCGTCAAACGGCACCGTGAGTGCAGTTGACGGACAGCCAGTGCGGACGCTCGGTATGTAGAACATCGTGATCACATCAACACTCCTTAATAGTCCACTGCTAGACATAGGCCTCTCCTTAGCAAGGAGCTTTCGTCCTATTATACCACGCTGACCAGACGGGTTGGTATAGGGTGTGTCAAGTTTTGCTTCTCTTTGCAGTGCTGTTGTCCTTACTACATCCACGGGATGAACAGGGGTGGTGACTCAGCGTATTCTTAAGCAGTCAACACACGAATGGCGCGAATTTACATCGATCACTACACGATATGACCTTCTGTATTTCTCGTTACAATGAGTTGATATTGTAATGGATTTAGCAATAACTACGCACTGCCAAATTTGATTTTATTTCGGGATTGTTATGTATAACACCAGAACATACATTTAAATTGCGCTGTAGATGTATATTACACGGCCGTGTATGAGTTCTAAGCCATAAGCCATTAGTGATTACATCATAAAACTAATTAGGTGCATTATTCACAGTTAGATCACACGTATCTTTTTCTTTTTGTGATGCAACGCGGTGCTCGCCAATAAGTTATTTTGTTGTGGCTTTACATCAAATGTGGCTATTAAGTACAGCAAAGATTTTAAAATCAGAAAATTACTTTACAATATAAAGTTTTTCCTAATTCTAGGGAACTTTAAAACATTAAAAATATACACAGAAGAAATATGTAAATAATAAAAATAACTTAACACATCTCACACAAGACAGTCTGGTCCTAAACTAGGCAGAGCCAGTACTATAGTAACCAACCTGCTGATAAACACACTTATATATATCTACATACATGATATAGATAAATAACACCCATCACACAATATTTGTCCTGGGTGGGAGTCAAACTCACGACCTTCTGCTGAGCAGTCAAGTTTCATGAACCACTAGACCGTCACTGAACAGATGAACTAACTTAACTTTGTAAGTTACCAAATATAAATATGTATAAATACACATACATTTATATACATACGATTAGTATTTTTTTAATTACAGTATGGGGTGCCTATGACTAGGGTCACATAAGCCCGCGATTTAGGAGTTATTTTTAACACGGAGCTAACGTTTCGTAATCCTATTGCCGAGTGCTGTAAGAAGGCTTTTATAAATTTAGGTTTCATATTACGTACCTCTCGAAATTATGCAAATATTAAAGCTATTGTTGCTTTATACAATGCACTGGTGAGGAGCCAATTAGAAATTGCATTCTAATGGCAGTCATATGGGCTCCACATGAAACTAAATATAGTGTCATGGTGGAGCGTGTACACAATACATTAATTAGATGTTTATATTTACGTCTACACGGAGTGTATCCCTTGTACGCACTCATGTATCCAACTCTCCATTCACTCACTTATGTATCCAATTAGAGGTAGGATACACAATGCAGATATGAGGCGCCTCTGTTTCGGGCGCTCCGTACACTGATTATTGTGGCAGAAGAGATTGACATAAGGTAACGCTACTTATCTTATGTTATAAAAAAAACGCTTGGCTATTGCATTAGGTTTGTAACCTATAATAATAGATGAAAGTTTGATAATAAATAAATAAATAATAAAAAATATTCTAAAGACTTGATATTAAATTAAAGTAAAACAGTAATTAAATGCCAAAGTCATGATCGGTACCGATCATGACTTTGGCCAACTAGCTGACAAGTCGTTTGTAAAAAGGTTAGTCGGCCGAGCCGGCCACGATTTCGGTGTATTTCCGTGATGCTTCGTTTACAGGTAATGAGCGCGCAAGTTGCAACACTTGCAACCGCCTCGCCTGCGAACATATCGGAAAATGTTTTGTTTACTTTGTATTATATCTTTATCATTCCTTCTGCTAAAATAGTTTAATTAAAATATAATCATGTCAAAAAAAGTGACGATATGTTTTTTTATCAATTGGACAGTGATTTTCTTAAAGTAGAGCTTGTCTAAGACGTATGTTCTAGATCAAGCAGATAGAATCCTCGACTTTGAGAACATAAAAAGGACTGTTTCTTTATACCTATCTATCTGAAACATCGGCAAATTTCAAAAATTTTGCTGGTGAATCGTGGAAAATTATAGAATAATCATTGAATAGCTGAATTCATTTGGGACTCCAAGGGCAGCAACGCACTTGTGACTTTTGAGTTGCAGGTGTCCATGGGCGGCGGTTGCTTACCACCAGGTGACCCGTCTGCACCTTATACCATAAAAAAAGATTACAAAAATTATATAATTATTGAACTTATTTTAAGTTACTCTTCCGTTTCTGAAGTTGTACCTCATCTGAAAACCTTACAGAAAGAAAGGAATTTAGAATTTGACACTAATAATAACAAAGAAATTGTGTAAGTGAAAGTCCTACTGGAAAATGATTATACCTCCATCGATGAAGACGACACGGAAACAACCATACACCGGATGTTTTTGGAATACTATCAACAACTTACTTTCAAAGTGTAGAAAGTAGGAAGTTCTGTTTACAGTGAGCGACTGTGAACGAGAGCCCAGGAATATACACAAAACAAAAAGTAGTCGATTCCTGTCAAAAAGAGCAAAATGTTTATTCTTTTACATCAAAATTTACTCTTAATTAACAATAAGTAAAAAAGTGAAAACATTTTTGTTTATCACAAAGACTTGATTAAGTACGGTTATAAATCATGCGGTTAAGTAGTCAATACAATCAACAAGGCGCCGTAACAATGTCATGTTTGCTTTGTCAACAAAATTTGACGCATCAACAACGTATCAACCGCAAACAAATTACAAACATTACTGATCTACGGTACTTAACACTTATCTGTATCCAAGTCTGACAGACATAGTGGTTCGACGGGTCTTTAATTAAGCGTCGATTGTCGGGATATATTAGATTGGCTTGTTCACCAACTCTGCATGCTCTATCGCTTGTATTGTGCTCTATACTTAATTGTCTTATACTAAATTTTATCTAAAAAATACATAATCACGACGCTACCTTCTGTTTGCAGGTGGTGTGGAGTTACGAGAGGATGTACCGCTTAAAAGCAGTGCTGGCGCCGCAGGCGTGGGCGGCGAGGTGCGATGCTGCGCGGGCGGGCCGCGGCTCATCCCGGGAGCGTTCGCCGCGCTCTCGGCGTGTATCACGTTGGCGCTGCTGACGCAAATCTACTGCGGGGACTACGAAGTGGTGCCGCACGGCTCAGTGTCTTCGTCGGCGGCGTCGTGCTCTCGCGCCGGTACGGACGCGCTCAAAGCCGGCGGACGTGCGTTTGACGCTGCCGCTGCCGCAGCGCTGTGCCTCGCCGTGCTGGCGCCGCACCGGACCTCACTCGACGCGTACGTAACATACCCTCTGTGGCCTTATCAGTGTACTAATGAAATAATTTTTCATAACGTTTTCAGGGATTTGTAAGTTCTCTACGTAATTGAGATATTGTGAAGCTCCTGTAAATATTTGGACCAATAAAACATGAACATGAAATGACTGGATCTTTCAACAGGAGTGGCTCGTTGCTGTACTGGGAGTACCGAGATCTACGCACGCAACAGCCTGTGCTGTATGAGTGGGGCAATATCGAGGCTAAGGAAGGCGAAGCTGGTGGTGGTGTGGAGTTGGAACGCCCCCCACGGCTTGTGGCTGCGCTGGCATATCTGCATTCGAGTCTCGGTGCGTTGCCTTGGGCGCGCGTGCTCGCACCCGCTATACAACTCGCCAGGTTCAAATCACTTAACATAATATTGCTTATAAAACGAGTCCACGTCTGGTACAAGTATGTGAATGTGAATCCACAGATAAAGGAATAATATTTATTATATTTCTTTTATTTTTTTCTTTATTCTTTTTTTTTCTGGGTGAATCTGAATGAATAAAAACCGATACCTACTTTAGTAAATCCAACAAAGAAAGAGACTAATAAGATTTTTCAGAAATATTAAATTCTGCTGTCATATCTGAACAGAGCAGACGCTGGTGTTATTCTTGAAAGCACTACAGCAAATCTACAAATATTTGCTTACATGACAAAGTCGTGAACGTAGTACTTCTTGTTCAAGGGATGGATTCCCGGTGTCGGAGGGTCTGTCAGTGGTGGAAGAGGCGCGAGGAGAAATACTACTTACGGGTTCCAACACCACATCACCCGAGCTCGAGGACTACCTTCTCTCGCTGCAGGTCAATACCAGCGCTGGTAAGTTCGTTCTAGCTATTGATACACAATTTAATAACAAAACTACAAATTATTTATTTCATAATTTCATACACACACTCTCTGTCTCTCTCTCTCTGTCTTCAGTGCCGTGATTAATGATTTGAGCGATTTACACTGACAGAATTGTCGCAGTCGTGGAACAGTTCGTATCTGGTGCGTCGCTCTGCGCCGACGCAGGTAATGGCAGGGTCGTGGCGCGTGCTTGCAGGCGGCCGAGGTGCGAACGCTGCTCTACGCGCATTGCAGGTCTCTCTCGAGCCTCCGCCCACCTCACCTGATGAAGCGCAGTACCGGTACCAACATATCATTAATATATACCTAAACCTAACGAAAGATAACAAAAGATAGTAATTGAACTAAACGCTATACAATGACCAATACAAGGTTAATGGTAGCGACGTTAGTGGCGAAAACACTATTTACACTAAAAACTGAAACCAAATCCTAATGTGATGTTATAGGGTTGTGGCGGCTTTGCAGCGCGAGTCTGGTGCAGGCGTAAGGGCGGGTGGGGTAGCCACGGGGCTCGCGGTCGTCGACAGCCGGGACACCTATATTGCGCTTGTTACGTGAGTAATGACATTTTGTGTATATTCAAATACACACAATACACCTGAAACGGCCCACTCAATGGTAGACACCCTATGCATGTTATCCCTTTCAATACTAATTGTTTTATGTCACATTTATCCATCGAAGAGATCCTACTCACAAGCAGAAATTAACATTAAACATTAAAGCTTTTTTATAGTTGGTTGACTAGAAGGCAAGCAGTGATTTGGTGTACTCAACTTTCTTCCAGAAGTATATCCACTGTAACATTCCTTCCGTACCTCACTGCTTCAACATACAGCTCACTCCAAATTGTTCGATTCGTCTCAATAAAATAGGTCTGACATACCGGCAGAACAGACAGAACATTAATCACTGGATAAATGGAAGAAATAATTCATTACATTTCTAAGCTTTTGGTTACCTCTTTCTCGAAATATGTCTGACCAATAACTTCGAGTGTAACTGTGTCAAGCTATTGGTATTTGAAAATATGGACCATAAATTGACAGGATAGGAGGCCAAGAAGGGCATCAATAAGCTGCCAATGCGTTGGCAAAGATGCGTCGATTGCATGGGTGATTACTTCGAATAACAGAAATAAAAAAGTTTGAAAAAATAAGTACTTTCACTTATTGCATACAAAACGACAATTTCATAGGTAAAGACCTATTATAATAACTATAGATTTAATGTTGTTTTGTTCGCAGTGGAATTTCAGAACCGTTTGGTTCAGGTGAGGTGAGCGCTGGCGGGTGGCGCCGAGACGAACCGTTGGCGGCGCTCGACCTCGCGCCGGCGATACTATACGAACCGAACGTCTGCGGTACGTACAACTTACAAGCACCAACCGCTCGCAACAGTAGTAGTAGTAGTAGTAGTGATGTGTCCACTGGTGACGAGGCGACGGTAAAGTTCCTTGATCGATGTTATATGTCTCTGTCCAATTCATAACGTCATAACAATAAGACCCATAGAGCCATTCCAAAACTTACAGATGAATTATGTTGATGTAACCTTTCTGAATAACAACGGATATGCATGCTATCAATTAATTGGACAACGTCGTCGTAAGTCGAAACACAGAATCTCTAACAGGTAGTAGAGAAATACTACACTAATGGTTATTTAGCGTAATGACATATTTATCAAAATAGGACCAGTTAATAGAATCCCAGATATTTTTTAGTTTCATGACGGTAGGCAAGGTTTTGCTTTTTACTTGGAGAGATATATCACCATTTTAACTAGCGATACGTCCCGACTTCGCACGGGTGCAATGTAGATAGTAGGCGATACTACTGGAGTAATTAATTATACTATTATTATGATACCACTATAATACCCTCTTTATATGCAATATTTATACGCCCGCTTCGCTCCTGCTGGCCGCTATCACAACACAGCGACGGCCATGGCCGCGTTGCCCCGCATTTGAAATCTCTAATATACGTACATTATATAAGATATTTACTTTAATGATGTGCTGTAAAGGCAAATTTGATCTACATTAACTGCACAACGTATCAAACGTATTTATTTAGCCATTACTTTTTGTAATATGTAAAAAATACTACTATACCACTCTGCGTAACCGTTCTACGATCTTCAAGTGCAATAGTCGCAACATGGCCGGTTTTTCCAACGTACGTGGCCACTATCTTCTTTGAAGAGCTTCGATAACGAACAACTTTAGTCGGCTTTGGCTTGTCTTGAAAGACCCAGATTGTAGATTGTTGTTTGGAATCAGGATCGTAGGTATAGATCCAAGATTCGTTACCACTGATGATGTCGTAGACGTGATTTGACTCTCCTCGGTTGAACCTTTGCAGAGTTTTCTTTCACCATCTGACGCGGGCCGCCTTGTGATCGTCGGAAAGCAGATGCGGTATCCAACGGCTTTCTCACACCAAGCGCTTCATTCAAGATCATATGAATATTATGAATGGTTGGCCCTGAGATGCCTAATGGAGCCTGTATCTCTCGAAACGTCACATGACGATCTTCGAGAATTAGTTGTCTCACAGCAATTGAATGCTGCGCTATAGAATTGACAGAACACAACATCATTATTGCATGTATATATAGGGTACCCCAATCTAATCTGGATACATTTTTCGATAATTTAAACAATATTCTACATTTGTTGTGTTTAAAATTGAATAACAAAAAGGTAGTCTTATGTGGGGACTTTAATATCAACTTAATGAAAAGAAATAAGCAAGCCTTAGACTTCGAATATACATTGTTAAACTATAATTTAAAATTGCAATTTTCTCAACCAACTAGGTTAATCAGTAAGACATGCTTGGACAACATAGCACATAATGTAAAAGGCTGTAAAGGAGAAATTATAGAATTGGGCCTGTCCGATCACACCGCTCAAGTTTTAAAATGTCCTGTTAAGAAAACATGCGTCTTAAAACGTTGGAAAATAAAAAGACGTAACTACTGTCAAGATAACATGAAGAAATTTGTAAATTGCATTAAAGCCCTCACTTTCTCGGATGTATATATAACTAGTGACGTCAATGAGGCCTACTCCTATTTTCTTGATCTATTTCAATGTTTTTACGATCTTTGCTTTCCGTACGAAATAAAAACAAAATCGATTACCAAAAAAGCTAATTGGATCACTAACGGGATAAGAAAATGTAGTAAAAGGAAACGACACTTGTTATGGCAATATAGAATAAATCCAACCCTTACGAATAAACAATCATTTAGGACATACTCTGCAAGATTTAAAAAAGTTATAACGCTAACACAAACATCACGTAATAACTACTTCATTAAGACGTCCCAAAATAAATCTAAAGCGGCATGGACCATAATTAATAATTCTAAGACCTGCTTCCCTCAAGAACCGATAACACAAATTCAAATAGGGACACAGAAAATCACGAACCCGTTAAACATAGCTCGGGCGTTTAACGAGTTCTATATTAGGCAAGTTCCCAAACCAAAAAAAAGGTCCATACAAGAAATTAACGTACGCTCAAATACCTTAAACTCTTTATTTATGGAGCCGACCACACCTCAAGATGTAAATCATCATATTAACTCACTTCGAAATACAAATAGTGTTGGCTATGACGGTGTATGCACTAGGGTTATCAAGGAGGTATCTCAGTACATAGCTCCACATCTTAGTCACATAATTAATATGAGTATTTCTAACGGCATATTCCCCGAGAAATTAAAAAAGTCAATAATTGTACCATTGCACAAAAAAAATGACAGACAGACCATGTCAAATTATAGGCCTATCGCTTTGATACCCATATTTTCAAAAATATTTGAGAGGGTCATCTATAAGTCCTTGTATAACTACCTAGAGAAATCAAACATTCTGGTAAAAGAACAAAAGGGATTTCGTAAACAGAAGTCAATCAATATGGCTATACATGACCTTCTTCCTATTATATCAAATATGGATAAGAGAAATCCTGTATGTGCTATGTATATGGATCTAACTAAGGCTTTTGATTATGTGGATTATCCTACACTAATGCATAAACTTGAAAGATATGGTGTCAGGGGAAATGTACTTGATCTCATTCGATCTTACTTAACGGGCAGAAAGCAATTTGTAGAAATTAAGCAAATATGCTCAAATACCAGTTTTGAAAAAAAATATTGTTCCGAAAGCGAGATAATTAAATACGGCGTTCCTCAGGGTAGCGTGCTGGGGCCCCTTCTTTTTTTGCTTTACATAAATGACCTTCCTGGGCAAATAAACCACCCCATGGTTCTGTTCGCCGATGATAGCACTGTAGTGATTAAGTGTGATGATCCCAATACTTATGAAAAAGAAATAAATACAACATTAAATAGAATTATATCATGGTTTGCAAATAATAATCTAATTATAAATTTAGAAAAAACTAAAATTATGCATTTTTATCAAAGGACACCAAATAAAATCGTTGACATTAGCTATTTAGGGACAAAAATAGAATCAAATACTACTACTAAATTTCTTGGTATTAATATAGACAATAATTTGACCTGGAAATCCCAGACAGACGAAGTATGTAAAAAACTAAATAAATTTGCCTATGTTCTTTATAAACTATCAAAAATACTAAGCCTAGAATCCGTACTAATGGCCTATCACAGTTACGCTGCATCAACACTGAGATATGGCGTAATATACTGGGGCAATTCAGTTGATAGAGAACTTGTATTCAAAGCCCAAAAAAGATGTGTCAGAGCTATGTGTGGTCTAAAAAGCACCGACAGTTGTCGACCGTATTTCATACGTTTAAAAATTCTTACCTTGCCATCTCTGTACATATACGAAACAAATATGTTCGTGAAATCCAACATCTCATCATACAAACTAGCAACTAAAAGTTACTACAGAAAACTACGAGATAAAAATAAGTCGGAACTCCAAGTGACATATGGCAAAACTGCACTAATGAATAAAAGTACCTTCTGTATGGCCACCAAAATATTCAACAAATTACCTGAAAAAATTAAAACGCTAACTCTGGCCAATTTTAAAAGAGAAGTATTAAAAATCTTGATAAGTAAGTGCTATTACTCATTAAAGGACTATTTGGACGACAATTCTATAATTACTGGTTCAGAAAATTGTACAATACCTCGACTATCCTAATGATTTTGAATTGACATTAAATTAATTTGTTTGACATTTATTAAAATTGACTGTATTTTGTATTTATTTTGACATGCATGTGATTATTAATTATTATCATTGACGTTATTAATAATGTGGAAGTTTAAATAATCCTACAAATTTATGATATTTGAAAATGTGTAAAATGTGTAAAAATGTATATATTTGTACGCCCCTGGGCAAAACATAGAGGACTTGCCTATCCATAACATCTCACACTCTATTGTAATTTGACCTATGTTTACAAATAAATGATTCTGATTCTGATTCTGATTCTGAATGATGTTATCTTTAGTGAAGGCGGATTTTGGGCATCCTTCGCGAGATTTGTCACTAACACTAGTATGTCCACGCTGGAATTCTAAATACCAGCGGTCGACAGTCCGCAGACACGGGGCTTCATCACTGACCACATATGTTAGCTCTTCAAAACACTGAAGCCGTGTCAGGCCTCTTCTTAAGTTGTAGAAAATTATTGCATGAACATTTTCCTTAGAAAGATTCATTTTCGTACGTAACCTGACAGATTCCAGTCGACGCTGTGACTAAACAATAGCATTAATCCTAATACTTTCAACTGTTTTGAGATTCAAAATTTAAACACATTCGAATTTAGAACAGTTCCAAATTCAAAATTGCCGGGAATTATGGAAACGACAAAACTTAAAAGGCATGCCTAGTACAAATCAGTGCCAGAGAGCTACTGGAACACTTTGTGCTCTTTGAGAAATTTCCTACCCGCAAATACCAAGACCATGCTTGTGCAATCACTTATCTTCCCCTTAATCGACTGCGGTGGTGTGTGCTGTTATGACCTAAATGCAGATCTTCTCGATAAATTGGACTGTCTTCTTGATAACTGCATTCGATTTAATTTCCATAAGTATGAATATGTATTATCCGCTTTCCATTTGCAGCTCAATTGGCTACCAATTCGTCTGCGAATTGGTAGCCAATTCGCTATTCCCCCCCCCCCCCACACACCTCCCACACGACTGAGTTTTTTGTCCAATCTTTTATTGTGCAGTCCTTTCTCTTTGGAATGAGCTTCCTCTCGAACACTTTCTTATTCAAAACTAAAGTAAAGCAATATCTTGTAAAACAACTGGCAGTACTGTCATGTACTATTATTAATGATATTTATTTACGTTTGTATGTATTTATGTAAGATCATATGCATTTAGGTATATGTATGTACGTATGTATAATGTGTATGGGTTCTATTGTATGGTAGGTTTATGTATGTGTTCTTGATAATGATTCACTGCAAACAAATTTTAACCAAAATGCATCTACTTCCTGTTTTCTCTGCATCACCCAAATGTTGACTGGTAGTGGAATGCTTTAGGCATTAAGTCTGCCAATGCACCAAAAGTGTACCACCAGTGTGTGTATGCACCAGAATACTTGCCGCCTCAAAGGAGATGGAGCGGTACCCCCTTATGACCCTGATGACTCGCTGCGGTCGTCGCACTAGTGCGGCATCGCTGGCCCTGCCTTAGAAGTGCCCTAATGGATGGTAGAGAAATTTGAAGCTGGTTGTACTAGAAAGAGTATTCTGAGTACGGGAATGCAGGATTATAGTAGAGAAGCGAATAGACTAGTATAGCGAATCGCGATGTTGCAGGATCGCGGTATGTGGTAGGCGCAGAGGCGTCGGCGGCGATGGCGCAGGCGGCGACGGCGCTGGCTTTGGAGGGGGCCATGAGCGGCGTGGAGCGCGCGCGCGTTTCGCTGCTGGCGGACGGCGCACTGGCGCAAGAGGCGCTGCGAGCGCAGCTGTTCCCGCTGCAGCCCGCGCTAGCGCCACTGGTGCTGCGCAACGCGTCGTTCCCCTACACCGCCGTCAACCTCGTGCTGCAGCGCGGCGACGCTCTCACCTCGCACGCCGACAGCCGCGGCGGTGGACTCGCCTCCAGATTCTGATTGTGTTACTTCTAAGCACGCATTGATACCTTGCACTTCTGTTAGCTTTGTCATACCGGAGTCTGTTTATCACGCTTCAGCCTCTAGTCTTTTTAATATAACTACTTGTTATTATAGGTGCTAACAGCAATGTTGGTCGCTGAGCATAGAGCACAGACCTGATAATAGGTAGTGTGTAACCGGATTGTACTTAACAGTTTAAGTAGGTAGGGGGCCAACTTACATTTACTAAAAAACTAATACTCGATATATATCAGGTGACCAGACTGAAATGTTCATGGAATTATATTGCTGCCTATACCTACTGTATATTGTGCAAAATAAGTTATTAAAGATGTTATTACATTGTTGTGTTATTAAGTTATCTTTTTATTCTTCCTTAAAAGTACATACATGCATTAAAAAAAAAACAATGTTAAAATTTATAATGACCGATATCGACGTTTGAAAGGCAAAAAGAGATAAACGACAATCCTTATAAAATCAAGTTACTGTTGTTGGAATCGTTATTTTTTTTCCACATCAAGTTCTACAAAGACTTTCGTCCCGATGGTGTTCGGACCTCATGTTAAGACAATGTGATAGTTAGAAACTTTCTATAATTTCTATTGAACATTAGGTACAGTAATTAAATTAATTACTTGTATTGAACATTATTCAAAGCATTTATTGTGTGTATGTTTCTCTAACAATTATTAAGATCTAGTTTAGGGGATACCTAAAAATAGTTTTTAAATAGCTATTATATTTTGGTATGGGATATATTTGAATTTAGATAAAAATAATTTTAACGCCACCTAGTAGAGACAAGCAGTACTACTTCAAAAGTTACCAAACTTTACACATTCAACAATGGCCACAACAACGGTACGCGCCTTCCCGGACTTGTCAGCATTGACTTAGTCAATATAATGTGTAAGGCAAAACGACAACGCTGCACCACAAGTTAATGCTCGTACCAGTCATGTGTCTAAAAAGTAAAAAATAATTGATTGAAAACCCACGACAAGTTTATGACTGTAGGAAACAGCAGAACCATCCGAGTAGGAGTAACATTTACTGTTCCTGATGAAAATCAACAAATAATTAACGCAACAAGAAACCTTTTGAAGCATCGAAGAAAATAAAAGAGAATGGAACAACACACGAAAACGAAAAGTTCAGAAAACTATAGCGCATGCTCTGCGATACGCTTCGTCATATTATGTACGAGTACAAGCAAAATCCGCGCCTTCATTCCGTGTTTAGAGTCAAAGGAACGATGTCTCAATCAAATAATAGAACAAACAACATTAGCTAATTAAAAAAATAAGTCGGCAGGTTCTGTAATATTCCACAACCATATTGATAATTATGTGCCCGATAGATGGCGTACACAGAAATTAATAAATAATGTATTTGAATGAGTTCAATTTACACTTTGTAGGCTACGTAAAATAAATATACATCATCATATCATGTAAAAAACATTTGATGCTCGTAACGTTAATTTAAAGAAAGATTTTAAATTTCGTTGTTGATTTTTTTGATAAACTTTAGTCTAGTTCTCTGGACACAGTGTATCGAATAACCAAATGTTACACTAAATTAAATTTAATAATTGGGGACAAAATAAGTTAGATGATTACCATTGCTAAAATAGCACTTACAATTGAATCTCGTAACATCGTTCGCTATCGTGGACTTATTGGTTGCACAAACTGTGTTACTTACACAGTTTTCTTTCGCATAAGGGATGGTATTAGTTTTCGTTTGGTCCCATATGAAAGAGAAGAAAAAAATTACACATATAAGAAAGTATCGCCGTTTTCCTTCCTGAATTTCTCAACCTAAGGTAAGGAAAATAGTGATACTTTAAAAGTAAATTATTTCATATATTGAACACTGATTACATCTCCAATAATGAATTAAGTGAATGAAACCCGTACATGGTAGCTATTTAGATCCTCTTTGAACCTAATGAAATACAACGTTGTCTTTGTTATTTGTTGTTTTCAGTGTGTTCGCGGCTCCGAGATAGAACAAACACGCGCATGTTCCTACTACGCAGAGTGCGTACTCGTAGTTATGTTATTCTTCGTATCATTGTCTCCAAAGTGCGTCAATACAGTACTAGCTTCTCTTGTAATAAGATTGCCGCACTAATATTTGTTTTGTTAGAGTTGACGCGTTGGTAAAATCTTTTGTGTTGAATGTTAATTTACTTTCAAAATTTCATTATGTACATAGGCGTAAACACTAACGTGATAGAAATCTCTACTGTAAATGAAGGAGTCAAGTAACGAATTACAATATTTCTTATTTACTTAGCCATCTACTGCTCTGCGTAGTTTTTCAATATGGACTGTAAGTAGAAATAATGCGTACTTAATTACTCTATGTGGCCCAACGAATAATAATAGTTTAGAGAAAAAACTTTAATACATTTATTCAGCATCTAGTGGAGACAAGACACTTCAAACGGAAATTTCAATGGGCCGGAGATTTACCGCTAAACGCTTTTAGCTGTAAACGGCGGCCGCCGACCTTAACATCGTTTTGTTTCGTCAAAAGTAATACAATTGTTTTTATTGTTGTAATTTATTTTTTATTTTTATTGAATACGATTTTACATATTCTGAACCCGACCGTTGGATGCGAATTTAAACAAAGGACGAGCGGAACACAATTTGAGCTCACTCAATGCAAAAGTGTGTCTGTCTGTTACCTCTTCACGCTTAAACCGCTTTACCGATTAAGATGAAATTTGATATAGAGATAGCTTGAGTCCCGGGCAAGGACATAGGCTTCTTTTTACCGCCATAACCGAAATACTTACTGTCTTAGATTATTAATAACCTAAGTAATGTATCTCTATAAAATAAGAAACTGACAGACTGATTCACCGGCTGATCGATAACCGCACAGCTGAAACCGCTGGGTCTAGAAGCATGAAATTTTGCACAAATGTTCCTTAGGTGACCCAGGTGTAGAGCAGAGGCGTGAACTCGCGGCGGCCATCAGAGTGGGAATTCTCTCGCTCAGTAACATGATTGCCGCCATGGTATGGAGCGAGAGTGCGTGGAACTGCGTCACCTTCTACAAGCAAGTTGACTACGGGACCTGGAGAGGTTTAGGTCGCAAAACGACCTCCGTCCTTCATAAACGCAGGCCTGGAAGCGACAGGTGAGGTCATGCGTCACCCTGGCAGGAGCAGGCCGGAGTGGAAGAAGCAAGAGCACAAAGGGACATGGAGTTTCCCACACAGGATGGGCTCATCTACAGATGATGTAGATAGATCCGCAGATCAAGTACGTCGGGGTACCAAAGATTTATTTGCGGCCTGATTGCATTAAGACGCAAGATTGAGGATGCGAAGAGTTTTCCCCTGGGATAGGGCCTGATTAGGCATGGTGTCAAGGAGGACCTGAAATACCATGGTCCGGGTCTTCCTAGAGTAGGGTACCAGAGGCCAGCCGTCGAGGTGGTTTTTAGTGGAATCACCACATAGGGTAAAATACGGGATGAACGGTTGTATCAAAATTCGTCATTTTCAAAGTAAAAACTACGAGATATCATACCTATGGGTATGATATCTCGTATTTAGAAGTATGCTTCTAGTTACAATAAATGGACATGTGTATCATGGTTTTGCAAAATTTTACGGATAAGGAGGTAAACTAAGGATTGTAAGTTTATATGGGAAATTCGTTGTTTTCAAAGTGAGTAACTTGCAGTTTCTTATACCTATGTGGAGGAACGGATGTCATGTCCCTCCAACACAAAGGGAGGATCCTCCGACCAGGCGAGGTGATCACGCCTGGCGGGCCGCGGCCCATCGGTTGATGTTGGGAAGTTGTATATATGCTAATCGGCGAGGGAATTCTTTATATCGCGATACAGGATTAGCAATTCTTATTTTTGTAGTTACTCCGTAGTTCGGTGTGTCTTCATTAGATGGCGCTGTAGTATGTTTCTGTTTCTTTGTATGTGGGAGTCGCCACACCTACTTCTTCGGACTTTTGCAAAATTTAACCCCTAAGAGGGTAAATTAAGGGATTGTAAGTTCAATTTTAATTCGAATCATTCACTAACAAGAATCTCATCAACCCCTTGGAAACGGGCGGTTGTAGATCGGCACAGGGATATTATAGATTTTGTAGAGGTGTAATTTTTATTAAATTTATTTTGCTTACTATTTAACAAAACAGAGATTTTTGCTATTGTATGTGTTGATCTATGACTCTAGAGTCTACACAAGAGACGATTTCAAACAATTAAAAAAAAATTGGAATAAAGATATTTTGAGTTAAGTTGAACAACATTTCAGGAAAAAATATTTCTTCTCATTCAAAGAAATTTAATAACCCTTGCATATAAAATATACACATTTTAAACATATAGGTTTATCGATATAAAACAGTTAAGGACGTTGTTTATAAAGAAGTGTTCAATCAGTTTCTGCTTTTATATACAGGGTGTAAGAGACATCGTAACGAATACTGAAATAACCATATTCAGACCATCATTCTGAGTCGAAAATCATTGAAATTTTCTGCTCCAAAATTAAACGTTTTATGCAATATCGCACAAAAGTAATAACTACATTTGTATTCCGTGCAAACAATCTACGCACACTAACACAAGTTGGCGGCCGATTCCTTGATTAATCACATTGCAGTTTTTGACCGTTTGCGGTATTTACTAAATAGTTTTCGGTAAAACGTTCTGTTTACTCACTGTGACATCCTTTTTATCCAAAAAAAAAATGGAAACTTATAAAAATGATGGTCTGAATACACTATTTTAGTATTCGTCAGAATGTCCCTTACATCTCGTATATGAGTTTGATTGATTATTTGTTTGTACGGTGTCTGGTGTCAGCCACCACGCGGACAAAGTCGCGTGTAAAAGATAGTAACGTACATTATTTAATTAGGAAGCAGTACACTCACGCTTAGCTTATGCAGCAATCATGAGAAAATACACCTACCAAGATACCAATTTCATATCACATAATG